CCTTGCCTCCCCCCTCCACCCCCCGCCCCAGTCCTGCCGGTGACACATCGCGGAAGGGGAAGTAGCAGTCCCCAGCCTGCCGGTCAGGACGCCCCCTCCCCGTCGGCCCTGCTGCTGTGTCCTGCACTCCCGAAGGACGTGGGGAAGGAAGGGGGGGCGGGGACCAAGGGTCCATCTGTCCACTGCTGCAGCCTGGGAGCAGACTGCAGGCCCCCTCCCCACACTCAGACAAAGGCGTTTGAGAGGAAATCGCCTCCCAGGAAGGGCCAGGCGCCCCAGCTCCCACTGGGAGCCGAGGAGCAGAGTGTGGGTACAGGGTGAGGGAGCTTTATCTATACACGTCGCCCCCCTCTGCGCCCGTGTCTAGGGACACCTAACAGTAACCGCCACCCCCGCACCGTCAGTGCCCCTATCAGGCCTTGGATTTTGTCCGGGACAGGGAACAGGGCTTGGATGGCCTCTAGAGGCTCAGCCCGGGGTGCACCCAATGAAGGGCAGTTTTGAGGGCTCCCCAGGAAAATCTAGAGGGCCCACACCCAGACCCGCCCCTCAGGCTGGTGACATACTGGCCATGGGCACAGGCCTTGGCATCTGCTGTGACGTGGGCCAGCTGCCCTGCTGCGCCCAGCCCAATGTCCTCATCTGACAGGTGTGGTCCTGATCCGATCTTGCAGGGAGGGCTAAGGGCACCCTGACAAGGTGTGTGTCGAGTGGAGACAGGCAAATAGGAAGCTAGTGACGGTCTGTTAATGTTCCCTCCTTCCCCCAGCCTTCGTCCCTAGACAAGCAGCCAAGGCCTGACTGTCCACCTGCATGCCCTGTGACCTCGGACGAATCCCCTGCCCATTGTGTTCATGGAACCCCTCTGGGGGCCTTGCTCTTCCTCTGCAGTTCCAGTGACTTCTAAGCTAAGCCCAGCAAACCACAGTGCTCAGCTCCCCTCCGGGTATAACCGAAGCATCTGCTTGGACAGGTGCAGCCAGGTCCCATGCAGGTTCCAGGGGAAGGGGTGCAGCCCGGGGTCGGGGGAACCCCCAGCGCGGGACAGAGAGAGGAGGGCGCCTGCCTGGAGTCCCGGGGCTCTGAAGCCTTGCCTGGGGGCGCCCTGACTCTCTTAGGCTCCTCAACATTGGATTGAGGAGCAGGTGGTGCCCCAGCCCGCCCCCTGCTTCAATTTCCCTTTAATAGGCCTTAGTAATTACAGTGAAATCAAGGCGGGCGCATCGGATGGGGGGTTGACCCCAAACTTGGGAGGGGAGTTGGCGCCCAAGAACAATCGGGCCTGTATTTTGGGGAATGTGTCGCCGGATGTGGAGGATGTGGAAGAACGGGCCTCTGGTCCCACACTGCCGGGGGCCGGCGCCCCCTTCTCCCGCGGAGAGACCGGTGCACTACGTTAGGGAGACAGCGGCTTCTTCCCATCGCTTGGGGGTTCTCACGGCTCCTGGCTGCTCTCTTGAGGCCTAGCGCTCCAGGGGACCCCGACTCCGGTCTCCTCCCCCAGCCCAGCCCCAGCATCAGGAACCGGCGTTCGCGGTCACTGCTCACAGACCCTGAGGGGAAGGCCCCTTGGGGGCGCCCGGGGAGCCAAGCCCCCCAAACGGGGCCAAGCCACGGGGACACACCCCAGCTTGGGTGCTGCCCGTCCCGGGCCAGGCAGTTTCGGGGCGCAGCCCGGCCCCTCCCCCACGGCACGGCAGTCCCGGGGCGGGGCCGGGCCAGTCACCCCCACGGTTCTCCCGGCGACCCTCGCAGGTCGCCCCGGTCGCCGCACCCAGTACCCGACCCCTCCCGTCTACCCGCCGGCCCCGCGCGGGGTCCCAGGCACCGGGGGTGGCGCGGGCGGGGCCGTTGGGGGGCGGCGCGGGCGGAGGCGGGGCGGGGCGCGGGGCCCCACGTGTCCCGACGGGATCGGCCAATGGGCGCCCGGCGTTCGGCAAGATCGCCATATATGGCCATGTTCTGGGCCGCGCGCGCCGCCGTGCCGCGCGCGCACCCAGCACCCGCTTAAATAGCGGCGGGGGAGGCCGCGCTCGGTCTCAGTCTCGGCCGCCGGCTCGCCTGCGCTCCTCTCTCCGCTTGTGCTCGTTGCTGCAGCCACTCGGCCTCTCCGGTAAGGGCCCGGCCCACGTCTCGGAATCTCCGCGGGGCCCAGGGAGGCGGCCCTTTGTTCCCAGGGGAGGGGCGGCGGGCAGCACTTGCGGATCCCGGCGGTTGCGGGGCGTCGCGAGGGCCGCCCCCCCTGAGTCCTAACGTCCCCGCCCGCAGGTCACCATGGAAGAAGAGATCGCCGCGCTCGTCATCGACAACGGTTCCGGCATGTGCAAAGCCGGCTTTGCGGGCGACGATGCCCCCCGCGCCGTCTTCCCCTCGATCGTGGGGCGCCCCCGGCACCAGGGCGTCATGGTGGGCATGGGCCAGAAGGACAGCTACGTGGGCGACGAGGCGCAGAGCAAGAGGGGCATCCTGACCCTCAAGTACCCCATCGAGCATGGCATCGTCACCAACTGGGACGACATGGAGAAGATCTGGCATCACACTTTCTACAACGAGCTGCGCGTGGCCCCCGAGGAGCACCCCGTGCTGCTGACCGAGGCGCCCCTGAACCCCAAGGCCAACCGGGAGAAGATGACCCAGGTGAGCGCGGGGCCGCCGCCGCCCGCCCGCCCGCCCGCCCGCCTCCTGCTCATTCTCTCTCCATTTGGTCTCCTGAGCTCCAGCGTCTCTGGCCGTTTGTTTCCGGGCTCTGTCCTCTGCGGGCATTTCCTCCCTGAAGCCTCCAGGTCTCTCGTGTGTTGGGCCTCCCTCCTCCTCCCTCCTGTCCTGTCCACTCATCACTCGGGGGCGCGGGGCACGTGGGGCACGGGGTTGGGGGGCGCGGGCGGGGGGGCTGCCTGCCGCTCACGGCCCCGCCTCCCCCGCAGATCATGTTTGAGACCTTCAACACCCCCGCCATGTACGTGGCCATCCAGGCCGTCCTGTCCCTCTACGCCTCGGGCCGCACCACCGGCATCGTCATGGACTCTGGCGACGGAGTCACGCACACCGTGCCCATCTACGAGGGCTACGCCCTGCCGCACGCCATCCTGCGTCTGGACCTGGCGGGCCGCGACCTGACCGACTACCTCATGAAGATCCTGACGGAGCGCGGCTACAGCTTCACCACCACGGCCGAGCGCGAGATCGTGCGCGACATCAAAGAGAAGCTCTGCTACGTGGCCCTGGATTTCGAGCAGGAGATGGCCACCGCTGCGTCCTCGTCCTCCCTGGAGAAGAGCTACGAGCTGCCCGATGGCCAGGTCATCACCATCGGCAACGAGCGCTTCCGGTGTCCCGAGGCGCTCTTCCAGCCCTCCTTCCTAGGTAGGTGGCCGGCGGCGGCGTCCCCGGGAGCGGCCTGAAGGGGGCGCGTGATCCCCGCTAAGGGAGCCTTATGTCTCAGGTATGGAGTCCTGCGGCATCCACGAGACCACCTTCAACTCCATCATGAAGTGCGACGTGGACATCCGGAAGGACCTGTATGCCAACACGGTGCTGTCAGGCGGGACCACCATGTACCCAGGCATCGCCGACCGCATGCAGAAGGAGATCACGGCGCTGGCGCCCAGCACCATGAAGATCAAGGTGGGTCCCGCCCTGAGGGTGGGGTGGGGTGGGGGGAGGGGCAGCAGTCCCAGCGGGACTAACGGCCATCTTGTGCTTTGCTCGCAGATCATTGCTCCTCCCGAACGCAAGTACTCTGTGTGGATCGGCGGCTCCATCCTGGCCTCGCTGTCCACCTTCCAGCAGATGTGGATCAGCAAGCAGGAGTATGACGAGTCGGGCCCCTCCATCGTCCACCGCAAATGCTTCTAAACGGACTGCCAGCAGGTGCCGCCACCTGCCGCATGAGCGCATTCCCGAGTGCAGGTTTGCCACAAACCGCACGTCTCATGCTAGCCTCGTGAAACTGGAAGAAGCCTTTGAAAAGAAATTGTCCTTGAAGCCTGTATCTTGGTATCAGCAGCACTGGATCGTAGGACTTGTTGCTGATTTTGACCTTGTATTCAAGTTACCTGTTCCCTTGGTCTGTGTTTAATACCCTGTACATATCTTTGATTTAGGCCCCTAGAGCGTGTGAATCGGTCACTCGGTGGCCGAGGTGAAGGGATGACATGGTGGGGAGAGAGAAGCCCGTAGTTGTGGCGAGTCTGTGCAGGGTATTAATGCGAAGAGCTGTCGGGCTCCAGGATCACACACCTGCAGGGTTGGTTGGTAAGCAGCCCGGAGCGGTTGTCCTATGTTCTTGCCTGCCTGTCAGGGTTGGAAGAATCTGAGCCTTGGGACCAGTTTCCTTTCTTAGCTGATGTTCTCCCGCTGGAACCCCGTGGGTTGTTACTTGCCTTGAGTTGGAAGATGGTTTGCATTTAAACCTGTAAACTCATTCATTCTTTTAATTTATGTAAGGTTTTTTGTACGCAATTCTCAACTCTTGAGATGACAACAAATTTTTGGTTTTTCTACTGTCATGTGCAAACATTAGGCCCCAGCAACACGGCCTTGTGTAAGGAGAAATAAAAGTGCTGCAGTGAAAGGCCCTTGACTCCTGTCCTTGGGGCGGAGGCGGAAGGGGAGGGGCTAGGCTGGGGTGGGGAGGGGCAGACTGGCTTCAAGCCAGCTCAGATACAGAGTTTAGGGGCCTCCTAAACTACATGGTTATCCCCAGACAAGCCTAGTTGGAGAGATGGGGCTGCGTCCTGCACTGAAACTGCTAGGTGCTGGCAGGGACAGGGGCTTCTGGAAGCACCTGCTTACTTGTGCCCACTGGCATGAGGGTAAAGTGCCTATTGGGTTTGAACCTCGAATTGGTTCCCACCCATAGTGAACCCTGTGTAGGGTTTCCAGGGGGAGCGAACTTGCAGCCCCTGGCATTAACTCACAGCACTAAGGGTACACTCCAAACACCTGTAGGAACAAAGGTGGGTGGGGGCAGCTGTAGCAGCTTGGCCAGCAGAAGCTTCTTAAGACCTTGTTTTTAGCAAAGTGCTTGTTGCCCACCCAGCCCATTGAGACCCATGTTAAGTGCTGTGGAGTTTACTCCTGGAAATCCAATTAAGGATCTCCAAGAAGGGGCTAGTGGGTGGGTATGAACTGCCAACCTTGTGGTGGGATGAGGCGAGCGGTTTTATGCGTCTAGTCTGCAGGAACCTTGAGCCCTGGGGAGGCAGCTACCCCTGTGGCCGGCCCAGGCTCCAGGTGAGACAGTGTTTAGTGTGATGGAGACACTGCTTTGCAGCTGGTTCCAATATTTGGGATTTCAGAGTGCAGGCACCTGGGAGAGTGTGGAGGAGGGCAATTTCAGACTAAAGCTTAGGGGCAGGAATGAGGCTCTACCCGTTGCCCCGGGCCTCACTGGGACAGCCATGTAAGACTTGTCCCACCTGCAGTCAGTGGGGGACAAGGACATGTAGCCTGGGGTGATGGCAGGGCGCACATGAGGTTGGAGGGAGGCCTTTGGGCAAATATTTTGCTAGATGCCATGTGTGACTAACCCCCACATCCACAGGGAGCAGGGCTCTGAGCAGAGGAGTGGACACCTCTGTGAGGAGCAGAAGGAGGACAGGCGCTGGCCTGGTGGCCATGGGGCCACACTCTAAGAGCCACCTGGGGGCCCACAGCAGTTGTCACTTGCTTGCCCCCACCTGGCTTTTCTGCAGCCTAGAAAACAGTGCTCAGGTGTGAAACCTGATCCTTGTACCCACTTGTTTTAGGAACTGAACTGTGATCCTAACCCCCACTGCTTGTCAAAAGGACCTTGTTTGGAAACAGGCTCTGGCAGATACTGGTTTGGAGGAGAAAATGCAGGACTAGGGAGAGCCCTGAGTGCCCACAAGCCAAGGGATGCCTAGGGCTATCAGAACTGGAGGAAGAAGGAAGGGGCTCCCCTAGAGCCTCCTGGGGGAGCAAGTCCTGCCAACAGCATCCAGAGCTGCGAGACAGTAGCTTTCTGTTGTTTTAAGCCACCCAGTCCGTGGTATATTAAAGACAGACTTGACGTCTGTCTGCTAATAGCGCTGTCTCCAGACACCCCACACACATCTGAGTGATGGGAGGAGAGAACATGGCATGCGGTGACTTGTCCTCATCAGAACTGCTCCTGGGGGTTTTCTTGGTGATAATCCTGGTGTGGTGCTGTAGGTTAATGTGCCAGACTGCAAAGCTGTAAGAACTGCAAGGTCGGTGGTTCAAGTTCACCAGCTGCTCCTTGGAAACCCTGTCGCTATGGGTCAACGAGAGTCTTAACAAAACACGTCCCAGGTCCTTCTTCCCTAGCACTATGAGTGAGTTCTAACCACCGACCTTTGGTGCCATGTGTAATGCCACCTCAACCCACCATGGAACGTCTCAACTAACCTGGCAAAAGTGGTCTTCACTGCCAACTCGTTGCAAGCGTACAGGACACAGTAGAACTCCCCCACAGGGTTTCCTAAGCTGCAAATCTTTATGGCATGTGTATCTCACTCGGAGTGGCTGGTGGGTTCGAACCACCAACCTTTCAGTTAGCAGCCAAGCACTTAACCACTGCATCACTAGGGATCCTTCAAGGCCTCCTTAACCAGCGTCATTTCTCTAGTTACCTCTGTGTGCTAAGGGTTCCAAATCGCTGAGCTTTGAGGAAGGAGGTGGAACTTGAGGAAACGAAAAAAACTATAGTCTTTGGGATTTGAAACTGGGAATCTGCTCAACTCAACGCATAAAATGGAAAGTTTTCAGGACAACCGCAAGAAGAACAAAGATGGGGGACACCAAGGTCAACTGGCACAACATCGTACCCAAGGACATTCCACATCTGACTTTGGTGAGTGTCGGCTGGGGTCTTAAAAACTCGTGAGCAGCCACCCAAGGGGCTCTCCCTGGCTGGAAAACACAGTTCAAACTAAAGACACAAGGAAAGAACTCGTCCAAGGACCATGTGAACATCAGTCTCTACAACTCTGAGACCTGAACTAGATGGTGTCTAGTAAGGACACCTGTCTAGAAAGGATTCCTGCTCTGAAAGGAATCACATTAGAAAGTTCTGGATAGAGCATTTTCTGGAGAAAATGTGGAATGAACCTCAAAATCATACATAAAAAAGATCAGGCTTGCTGGTGGGGATAGAGACCAGTGGAACTCCCAAGCTAGGGCCCTCGGTCAGTCACTCTTCAGGCTGGGAACTGAACTCCCGTGCACGGCTCAGCTTCCAGCCAAATAATCGACTTTCAGGTCCAAATGGGGAACGACAACACTAGGGAGGTACACACGCCTAGAACAGTCGTTTGAAATCCAAAGAGCAGCATTTGCGCAAGGACACAGCTAAGAATGGGTAAGAAAGGAAGAAGAATGGCAACAGGAAACTTGGGAAGTGGATAAGCGATGTTGCTTGGAGAGGCTTGCTGTCAGTGAGATGAAACAAAATGAACGGGAAACTGATGATCTGCTCTGTAAACCTCCACCCCGTTCACAGTCAAAAGTTAGGAAGAAAAAGAGCCCAGGTGGGACAACTTAAGGGCTTGGTGGCTAACTGAAAGGTCAGATGCTTGAACCCACCCAGCCACTCCCAGAAAGATGACACCTTTGGAAGCCCTATGGACCAGTTCTACTATGGCACATGGGTTGCTAGTGAGTCAAAATCAGCTCCAAGACAGCCAATCACAACACAAAAAGTAACATCGTCAACAAAGTCAACAGGCAGTTAACTGGGAAGTAAAATGATCAAAGTCTGAAACAAGGGATTCACAGCTGTAAGACACAAAGATCAACAGGGAATTCTAGAGACAAAGAGCCCAGTGCATAAGCAACCACTCACAGAACCCAAGCCACACAGAAATTAGGTTGGGGATCTTGATAGAGAAGAGTATCTACCTCAGAGCTCTACTTTTATGGATAAAATTGTGTCTTCCCCCAAAGAAGTTCTAGTCCTACCCTGGTGCCTTATTTGGAAATAGGGTCTCTGAACATGTTATCAGTTAATATGAGGTTGTATTGGAGTATCAGCCAAGAAATCAAACGATGTATTGCATTAGGCAAATGTGCTGCACAAGACCTCTTTAAAGTGTGGAAGA